TGTTGAATACGCGGCGCGTTCTGGGGCAACTGCTGAGACCCATCTCTCTGAAGAACGATCATGATGCATAAGCGGGATTATATGCGCACCACATTCAAACAATTTTTTCTCGAGCCAAAGCTCGAGTGCATGGCGCAATCTGAAGTAGGGCTTTCCAAAAGTTTAAAAGCATATTCTTATAGAACTCGACGAGCTGAGTTCAATGCTTTTTTCAGATTTCGAAAATCTTAATTCTGAAGCGAGTTATAACGAAAAAACGAAAAAGAAACGCGAATTTGCGTTTTTCGCGTGTTTTTTTCGATTTTTTACGGCGAGTACCGTAGTTTTCCACATGGTTAGACTCGCCACAGAGAGACGAGTCCAATGGTGTAGAGCACCAATCATTTGACCCGCTTTGGGGGGAGTTATGAAGGGGCGACGCTTTGCGACGCTGCAAATCCGTCGCTCAGCGGAGAAATTTCAAAAGTTAGTGGCGGTATTGTAGTGCAGCAGCTGCAATGTTCCACATTCGCGGCAGACTGTTGTCTAGCGTCCTTTTATCTGTTGCGCTTTCTCGTCTAATATTCTTCTCTCCGCGCTCAGTCCTCATTGCCTCGGCAAAGGTAGGAAGGTGGCAAGCCCTCGAACCTAGACGTTCTCAACAATTTCTCTTCCTTTCTTTCGATTCTATCGGCCCGCTTCGCACCAAGGTTTTGATATTCGTGTGCAGGAACCACACCAGTTTGACCTGGAGCATACCTTTTATCGCAGAATCGGGTCTTAAATAAAGGAGGATGTAGTGCGATTGCTTGTGCCGCCAACAGTAACTACAATTCTTACAGCGGGAGGAATTCCCCGAGGTACATGGTACATTTCGCTTCCTTTTTTATATCAACAGCTGCGCTTCCTCTCCCTGCGGGATGGGGGTACTGTATGCGGCACGAGGGCAGGAACTGTTACACCTAGATGCTCACTCTCCTCCCTCATCGAATAAGCCCTCATTTTTAAATAAAGAACGAGCACATGACGCATTGCCCAGAACTCACCGATGAGTGCTCGTTCCGTATCGGTAAGGAAGGTGTTGCGTCCCTCGATTCCCGAAAAGCATTGCGCCTCTTCAAACGAGAATTCTCGGAGACCTCCACCAAATCGACTTTTCACCGGTTTTTTGATGTGACACAGCTCGGCTCCCTTCAGTAGGCTGCAGCAAAAGAAATGAATAGAGGAAAATAAGTAAGTTCAAATGTACAAGCTTCAAATTCGATTTCAAGAACAGTTCAACCGGAATAAGTGGGGCCAGTGTAATGAAGTAATACAGAGTGATATATAATAAACAGCAGACTGGATTATAATAAGAACAATTGAGCGCCAGGGTCGCATATACAGGGCTGAGCGAAAAAAGGGACAGTTAGCTATCCAGGGACTTGTATGCTTTGTTCATGGACACAGAAGGAAAGCACTGTCTGGTGACCCTGTTCCAGAGCACCAGAGTCTTCTTGAACCGCTCCCATGATATATCCTCACATTTGATTTCCATAAGCGCGCCACTTGTCACTACACCACTTCCGCCCAAGTGGCGCGCTTACCACGCGAGCGGTCCGGGGATCAAATCCTGGGTCGTGAGTCGCCCGGGCCAACCAAGCCTTTCCATCCCTCCGGGGTCGGTTAATTGGTACCAGACTTGTCTGGGAGGATAAAAACACTGACTTGAACATCGGCTGGCCCCCGCAAGTCATTGTATAGGCCACATCGCATTCAAACGCCACTGCGAATGTACAAATGGAAGTAGAATGCGTGCCGCATCCCAAAAAGGGATTGATCAACGGCAAATGCTTTATCCTTTATGCTTTTTATTGATTTCCATGATTTTATCGATAAAAATCAATGAAGGGTCGCCCTAAAGCAGTGACACTGCCCAAAATCATCAAACTTCCAGGGAACGGGATTCTTGCAGGTATTTCTCCAATTGAAAACATTCCAAGGGTTGAGCGAAAAAGTTGATGGTAATTCAGAAGTTTTCAGCTGCTTTAATGGAAGAATTTTTTCGTCAAACCAGAAGACTCTTCAGCTTCGCCGCACCGTCGTCTCGACGTATTAGGTTGTCTCATAAATAGTGTCGCTTTTTTTCAACCAAAAATTTTCATCTAAATCCTCATTCTTTTACATCGAGTTCACGAAAGAGAATTGTCTGCTCTACAAGATGCTATGTTCCCTTCCACCTCTGTTCCAGGGTTTTCAAATTTTAGGCCTGCGAAATGGGAAGTCCAACCGACAAAAATTGACCAAACCGACAACTATCTCTAACTTTATCTTCCCTTGGGAGAAATCAATCAATGATGTACCCTCTACTTACTCATGACCTCTTCTGAACATTCCACCCTTAGGTTGCCGAAAAAGGTTTGCCCTGTTTCTTTTCGAATTGGCCGACCGATAAGCCATGGCAATTTTCAAATTGAAATTCTTCCTCTGAAACGCTATTGTTTTATATCAACTGGTGTATCTTTTGTGAGCACTTCTTCTGCTCTATTCGCTCATTTGTTTTGTTTTATGTTTGTTAGGAATTAGCTCGAATTTTAGGTGTTTAGGAGTAAGGTGCTTTATCCACGAAAGTGACCGCATTTCTTTGAAAAAAATTATCCTGAGAAGATGAGAAAATCAACCAGGCGTACATTCCTAACTTAGTCATGACTTGTTCTTTAAATTCTACTAGTTTTTCAATGTCTCGGCTGTAAAAAAATTTCGACCTAGATCTCAGGTAATGGTGCTCGACCGTCGAGTTCTGGTTGAAAAACCAGGTCTGGAAATGGAACGACGCGACTTGTTGGGAAACCTAATAGTGTAATGTTCAGAAGAGGTCATGTGTAAGTAGAAGGTACATCATTGATTGATTTCTCTCCAAGGAAAGATAAAGTTAAAGATAGTTGTCGGTTTGGTCAATTTTTGTCGGCTGGACCTCCCATTTTGCAGGCCTAAAAAATTTGAAAACCCTGGAAACAGAGGTGGAAGTGGAACATAGCATCTTTAGAGCAGACAATTCTCTTTCGAATGGTATATGACACGATGTAAAAGCATGGAGGATTTAGATGAAAATTTTTTGGTTGAAAAAAAGCGACACTATTTATGAGACAACCTAATACAAACTAATTAGATCATATCAAAACTGACAAGCGGGGGCGACCACTTCGATACTTTTTTTTAATTAATTGAATGTTAGAGTTTGCTGTTTAATAAAATCAGTTTTTTTCAAACTTTTTATGGACCAAAAGTGAAGTTTGGACGTTTTTTTATGGCGCACGTAATTTTTCGCCACCCTGTACATTGTAGCTCCGTGAAATTTTATGTGACGAAGTTTTACTGAACATTCGTGTATTCGAGGCTCAAGAATCAGTTCTGAGCGAATTTTCTAAAATTTCCATTTCCATTTCTGCTTCAGAATACCGTCACTCCGAGGAAATATGGTGGCCGCCATCTAGTTCACTCGGGTCAGTGAATGCCAGGTTAACCTTCCCAGATTCCTTTTCCGACCATGTTGAGCAAAGATGGCCCCTCAATGGTTGAGCGACTCTGTATGGACAACCAAATCTAATCCTTTATAACCTCGAACACTATCCCATTACCCACCTTACTTCGGAGTTTGGAGAATCATTTGAAGGGAAAAAATGGGGTCTGTAATAATGACAATGTGATCCGTGTGGCACTGAGAAGTTGTTACTAACAGGACAGTAGGTTTCCGAGGAAAGATTCTAAAAATTTTGCGGGAAGGCTCAAGTACAGATATTGAATAATGACATTGTAAATTTTTATTAGATCCTTGAACAAATCCTTTTAAAAGTTGATAGCGTAGCGACACGTTAATTGTCTATAGGGTGGTCGAATCTTTGTGATGTACGGGAAGGATGGAATAAAAAACAACGGCCAAGAAACTGTCGGTGATGTGGTAGAGTGCTGTCAAGCCTGTCATATGTAGCTATATTCAGCAGCATTTATACTTGTTAAAGCGAGGGATTACGATAAGTTTGGACTGGGTTCATAGTGGAAGTGGAGATGCTGAATAATGCCCCAGTGGCGAAAAAAGCAAAGAAATCCGTCAAGAAGGCGCAAAATGGGACCCCTTTCTTTGCCCGTTGACCTCCGATAATGGACGAGCTAGCAACCAATTAGGAGGTCGTTTGCACATGTTATGCTGATAGCCTCTATCATTTCAGCAAGCATCATGCTTTGATTGATCACGCATCCCATGAAAAGTTATAGGATACACTCTGGAAGTGGAATATCTCGTCACATTGGCAATCGAAGGGCGCTGCTGCTGGGGGCGGAGCACAGACCGTGGCGGGGCTCAGAAAGGAATGGCAAGCCTTGTACGCTGCAACTAGCGCACCTTTGACCACAAAAACGCAACATTTCGTTTCCTTTGGGCCCCTGACTACTGCTTCCAATGGTGCATGTACTTCCACGCTGCATACGCACTTTATCGTAATCTCTCGCTTTAAGTTCGTTTCTAGAACGAAGGTGCCAGCTTGATCAGAATTAAAAAGCGATTCACGATAAGTTGGAGGTTGAAGGAGGAGGAACCACTTAGGGGAAAGACATGTGGACCGACAAGCGATTCGCAGAGAGAGATATTCATCCCGCAACCCAGCATGGCCCTTCTAGCGGCTCTAGCCGGACGCGGCACACCCAACAACTCGCGGCGGGTTTTGCCTCAGCAAAGAGAAATTACCGTGAGGGCAGAACCGATGAGAGATGAACCAATCGGAAATCAACGGGCAATTAAGTGGGTCCCATTTCTCGGCTACTGGGTCGTTTTTCATAGTTTTTTCATTCCGGCACACTGAACCACCTCTAGCCTTGATTCTAGCGGGCTACCTTCTGATAAATAAACTCCGGCTTTATAGGGGAAACTTCAGCCATTTGTCATGGGTGGAATCCCTAACGTGGATGCTGTTGCCGGGCCCGAACTGTAGAAATTGTGCCATATTTGTACTTCGAAACACGCCACTAATACGCTAGGAACCCAGCAACCAAACTCGTAGGCTCCAAGGGTTACGGCTTAATACCGGAGAACCCAAAACATACTCGTTAGGCTCCAGAGTTCGTGGCAGCCTTGTATATATGCTTTCTAATATCGGAGCCTTCTTCTTCTTCCTCAGCGCCTTCTCCCTCTTCTCTCTCCACTTTTTCTATTCCCTAGCTGGCAGTCCACTTTTAACCTTACTTTCACACTTGAACAGAGCCCCACATCAACTTGATCGTGGCGTGATACTTCGAGTTAGTCACCTCATGGGTCAAAGGGTAGGGATAAGCCACAACGGCCGTGTGGGGACCACTTAAATCAATCAATTCAAACGGATCGAGACAGGTGATTTGGGAAAAAAAAAACTGCGATACGAGTAACAATATAATATTGAGAGGCACTGACGTCAGCCTTTGAACAAAGTAAAAAATTGACCAAGTAGTTAATCGCTAATTAACAATAATTTACTAGATCATACTAAAAGAGCAAATAAATTGATAGCGGCCTTCAAGAAAGAAAAACTAACGTGAACTTATAGAACTACCTTTTATAACCGGCCGTAAGGTAAAGCGCGTAGCAATCCTTGAGCTTGTGATGCCTGATCTCGATTTTCAACTGAGGCTCGTTGGTTTTTGATCTGTACGAACACCACGATAAGGTAGTTCGGTAGGTGTAAATGATTCATATGATTTAACTGATTATAATACTCACGATGTCTACAAGCCAGGCAACAAGTTGCTTCATTTCTGTTCATTCTGATTCGAGCTTAAATTTGTTACGAGGAAGAATCACAATGAGCAGTTGTGTCGCATATCCTAAAAAAATCAACTGAGGTGAAAAAGCAGTATTTACAGGGGGGTGGTTGGGATGTAGTGGGGGTACGGGTGGATTAGCCAGCCAGCGACACTTAGGAGGAGGGACTGATTGGTTTCGTCGCTGAGATCACTTACTGGAAGATCCCAACAAGCGACTTCATTGAAGCGCTACAATGCCCGTGTTATGCCAATCACAAAAGAGTCTTCACACTAGAACGGGTCGAATATCGTCAGGCGTCGGGGGAAATTTGACCCTGAGCCCGTAGGTAGTTACGGCTTGCTCAAAACGGGTGTTAATTTTGCATGCCAATAGCAAATGGCGCTATCGCAATATGCGGGGGCATTGCGACAGCAATGATTCAAAGGTGCGCGAAGCATGTACTTTTTGTTGAAAACGGAACTAAGCCTTATGCGGAGGAAACGGACTCCAGGGTGCGTAGGTCCATTTTCATTTTCCTTGGAGTTCCTGCCCCTTCATAGGCCTAGCCCAAGAGGATGCCCCCTTATATTGCGATAGCGTCGTCGAAATCTATTATTAACGTGCACTCTATGGCTAAAGAGAGGGGGTGATGGCGGAATAACTTCGTATAGCATACATTATTTTTTGTCCCTTGGTTCATCACAAAAATACAGTACAAATCTGATTGGTTTGAGCAGGTCAATTCCTTATGTTTATAAATCAGAGGTGGGTTTTTCCTCCTAAAAATATGCTATTTATTTCGAAGATTAAGCACACCTCCACAGATCACTGCTAAGAGCGAATCGTTGACCTTTGACGATGCCATCCTGAATGAGACTGCCGACTCGCACTCGCATTGAATGCAGTGGGCCTGAAATGTAGTCTCTAGAAGTTACAGAAAATTCTCACTCCATTCGAATGTAAATATAATAGTTTTTCAGTTGTTGTGAAGTTTTATGAACCCTTAGAGGGATTTAGGAATGATCTTGCAGGATCTTTCAGAGAGATTAGGGGTTTTTGTGTAACAGTAATGGTAGTAGCGTTCGCAATATATTTGAGAAGGGTGATGCATAATTATTGCGATGTTTTTTCGCACCTTCTTTGTTTTCGAAAGGAGGTTTGACGTTTTATTTATCATTGTTCATAAAAATATTCATGCTTCTTTCAAGTTTATCGAAAAATTCTCATAGTATCACCACATATGCTCCATTTCTTCGAGAAAGGTTAGAAGGCGGCAGAGTCATTTCGCGATTTCAACAAACTTCACGGCAAGGGAAAATCAGCGAAAGCCGAGATGGTAGATGTGTCAAGAGGTGCAAAACGGCATATTCACTGACCGAAGCTCCTTCAGACTTACCCATTCAATCATTCCGTTAAAAATGGCAACGACAAATTCACTATGACGGTGGGTTGATATGGTGGCCAGTGTTGAGCGTGGCATGCGTCACTACAAGGGAATGCTTTGGACTTCCCATGGAACTTTGAAAGATGACCTGGGTATATCGATAGAGTCTTGAACGCTGATTGCAAATAGGGACACTATAACTGCTACGTGAACTTTCTTTGAAAGTTATGAGCCTTCAAAGTTGGCAAGAAGCGACGCCATTTCATCAGGACAGCTAAGCGCTGACGAGGCAGGGTGGCGGCGATATTTACTTACTTGTAAGAATCGTGACTTCCTCACCCGTGAATCGACCGAGAGCCAAGCAAATTGAAAGCATTTTTGAAGGAATGGTGACCACGCTCCAGAGTTATTATTTAAACATGTTTTTGTTGAATAGTTTTTGTGGCTTTCGCTTAATAAAATTTGCTTGAAAAAAATCCGCAATTATTTATGCATCAACCCAATAATCTTCTCATGAAGAACAGTGTTTCCTCCTGAGGCTGAATTTGTTCTGAAAGCCTCCATACCTTGCACTTTATAATAGTTTCATGTCGCGTCAGTCACTATAATACTCAAAATATAGTTCAGTGGATATGAAATAGATCAGAATAAACAAGAAGCTTCGGAACTCGATAGGAGACGATTACCCTTTGAATTAATAACCTATTCAGGGTAGCATCACTGCATAAGAAATATTGTCACCACATCAAGAAGTATGAGTACTCTTGTGAACGCCTCCACAAGGGGAACTGGTGAAAAAAAAAACTGAAAGAAATATTGAAACAGCCTAGCGGCTAAGAGCAGCCAAGAAGGTGAATGTGCTTACATAACGATCTTTCCAGTAGCACTAAGCAATCCTCCCCGACAGGGGAAAAGGGATAAAATCCTCAAATTTCTTTCACTTTTTTTGCAAAATACTTCCTACTTTCCTGGAATTTTTGATAACTTTACGCAGGTACATACATCAACAATATGCTTTCTTGGGGCAGTCCTAGTTGACAGAAAAATTACAAAAATTCCCTTCTTTTAAAGTGGGAAAGAAAAGCAAGTACACTGTGAAGTTATCACTACAGTAATAATGTCAAAATGGTTGTGAAAAGTAAAGAAAAGTCATCACTTCTATCAATACGGATCTCATGACCGTTAACACTGTTCGCAGCACGGACACAAAACAATGGAGGGGTCGCGTTATTGTAAGGAAAGAGAATGTTTGGTTTGTGAAAATATTTTTAGGGATCAAAGCGAGTGATAATGAACGAAAACCCAAATTGCTGAAAGCCCTCAAAATATGGGTGCGCGTGGCGTCATGGGACGGGATTTGCGCCCTCAGCCTAAAACAGCCTCATCGCCTGACGCTGTCCTTTGCCATCTTCATCATGCCAAGGAAAAAAGCAGACCAGTATAAACCCTTATGGGCGTGGGCGCAAACCCGCCACATACCGTGCTTAGAGTGATTTTTAGAGATTCGTCATTTCCCTGGCTGTTTTCCATTACTGATGGTGACCTCGATAACTTGGGTTCATGCCGGCGAATAACCGTACCTACATATCAGTACTGATATTTCGTCAAAAGTCGCCGAAATTGTTTTTCGACTGTAACTTTTTTTCCGCTGAATCAAATCAATTCAAATTTTAATATGTTTTAGAGATAGTCCTACTTCACTTAAACGGCATATTTGTTTCGGATTGAGAAAGAATTAAGAATGGAAAAAATCATTTCACTAGAAATTCTCGCGTATGAGCAAATTCCAAGTAGGTTTCAAATTACTCTAGCAAGCTTACAATTCAACAAAACAATCTTACGCATGATGAATAACACTGGGCAGGTCCAATACTTTGTTAATGATCTTCTGGGTTCGCTGAAATACTAACAAGGCCTAAGTAAGGAATCAGTCATTGAATGCACTGTCTACTAGGGCAGCTTCCTCCACTTCTCTTGAAATTTGACGAGTTTCTCGCCCATATTCCCGGCTCTTATTTCCACCAAAGGTATCCCTACTCTTTCCCATAATGTTTCGATGGCGCTCGGGACATTGGTGTGAATTGTTCCCTTCGTTGAAAGCGCGCCATGCTGTCGAAACCAATCCTTCACAGTGAAGGTGCGATGCTTTTGGTCGCTCTATAGCTAGAAGGCGAACTCAGTCACGTACAGTTTCATACGAGTGGATACGAATTACGAAACTCCTTTCAGAATTGAATCTATGTCTTGTTTACTCGTGCGGCTCGGCACTTCTGTTTAATCGCTGGCAGTTGTTAAAAGGTTTCTTTTACGGGCGGAGGCTATCCACACTCGCGCAGCCTGGCGGCCAAGTTTACCTACGGCAGTTTTAATTCGGGCTTTTGGTGATCGCAACGTGATTTCTTTTTCCTCAGGACCGCGACACATTCCTATTTCAGTCGCCGGCAAACATCTTGAATTTACTCTCGTTGGTCCGCAGGACGTTGTAGCCCTATGGGGATCCCCACTTTAGGTGTGCGTAAGCCCATTTCGCCCCCGACCATTTCACCGCCGACTAACTTCGCAGTATTCGCAATCATGTGAAGGCAGCCTATACAGTTGGGTTCTAGAAGGAGTTCTTATCCACATGTATGACAGTTGGTCAAAACTGAGCTCGCCTTCTAGCATTAGTGCGACCAAAAGCATCGCACCTTTACTGTGAAGGAGTGGCTTCGCCAGCATGGCGCGCTTTCAACGAAGGGAACAATTCACACCAATGTCCCGAGCGCCATCGGAACATTATGGGAAAGATAGGGATACCTTTGGTGGAAATAAGAGCCGGAAATATGGGCGAGAAACTCGTCAAAGTTCAAGAGAAGTGGAGGAAGCTGCCCTTGTAGACAGTGCATTCAATGACTGATTCCTTACTTAGGCCTTGTTAGTATTTCAGCGTACCCAGAAGATCATTAACAAAGTATTGGACCTGCCCAGTGTTATTCATCATGCGTAAGATTGTTTTGTTGAATTGTAAGCTTGCTAGAGTAATTTGAAACCTACTTGGAATTTGCTCATACGCGAGAATTTCTAGTGAAATGTTTTTTTTTCATTCTTAATTCTTTCTCAATCCGAAACAAATATGCCGTTTAAGTGAAGTAGGACTATCTCTAAAACATATTAAAATTTGAATTGATTTGATTCAGCGGAAAAAAAGTTACAGTCGAAAAACAATTTCGGCGAAGACTTTTGACCGCTACTGTATATCGGCGGAAATACGCCTTCAATGCAAA